CGTGCCCCACGGAGAGGCAGCGGCCATCCGAGCCCCACGCATCGCCAGCTTCCCCCGCCCGCAGGTGACGTGGTTCCGGGAAGGCCGCAAGATCCCACCCAGCAGCCGCATGTGAGCACCCACTCTGGGGAACCAGGGAGAGGCCTGGGGCCAGATGTGCTGGGGAGGGCCTTCTGCAGAAACCTCGCTCAGCCCTCTGAACCCCACCAGACAGGGGACCTCCCGGGATGGTGACGGGAAGTTGCTTTATGAGGGGCGTAGCTGGCATGTGAGTGCGAGGGCTTGGGACCACGGAACCAGAGCCCCGTCCTCTTGCTGGGGAATCCCAGGCTGTTGCCCTACTCTGAGCAGGGGAATAAGTCTGTCTCCCAGACCGCTTTACAAAACCCAGCAGGCTCCATACAAAGGTGCCGTCACCATGGTGACAGCCCAGGACTCCAGCCCGCAGCTGGGCAGCCCCTGGCGTTTCCGCTGTGTGGGTGTGTCTGGTTGTCCCTGGTGTGCCAGGGCGGTGTATGTCTTGGCTGTGAGGAAGAGGTGTGGCCGGGGGAGGCCTGGGGGCGAGAGGCACACACAGCCCTTTCAGCGTTCACAAGGATCCTTCTGTGTGCCCTGGAGAGTGGGCGTCGGCCTGGCTTGTGGGCAGGAGGGAAGGGGCCAGCACCCCACCCTTCCACAGAAGCGACAGCAGGGCCTTTCCTCCCAGGCGCACTGGCCCTCCTGGCCCTCCTATCTCCCTCTCCACAGCCTGGAATCAGCCTGAGCTCTCCCCTCTCAGACTCCGGTTCTCCTGGGCTTCCAGAAATCCAGTTGTTCCTGTGGACTGGATGGAGCCCGTCCTGGGCTCTGTAGGGGCGGAGGATAGGTGGACAGTTATTGCCTTCAGGGAACATTAAGTCTACTGAGAGAAACACAATGACAATAAAACAGATGACATCACAGTAGTAATACTGCTGTCGGCTATGGTGTGGTGCCATGTCCCCGAACTGTGTTAAGCACCCGGCAGGCCTCTCCGCTCCTCCTGGGCAACCGTGCTCCCTGAGGAAGGACACACTCTCCATCTTGTTCTCTTTCCTACCAGAGCACTTGCTTAAAAAGTAGCTTTGAGGGACCAGCAGTTAGCATAATGGCTATGTCACTGAACTCCCATGTAGCTGACCGCGGTTTGAGTCCTGGACCCGGTGGCTTAAACTCACGCCAGGCGCGTGTGCGTGCGTGCCCGAGATCCCGAGAGGAGAATGGAGGAGAAGGGATTGTGGTGTGGCCAACCCCTCGGGGGGAGATTTCTCACTTTCTGTCTCTCTGTCTCTCTCTGGCTTTCTGGCAAGCGCACAGGCCCTATAGCAAAAGCCTCAAAAAAAAAAAGAAATAGCTTTGGATGAGTAGCCCTCACAACATCACCCCGTGGCTGTTGTATCCCCCTTCTATAGAATAAAGTGAAGCTCCTCAAAGCTTAGTTACTTTGCCAAGTCTCCAACTGCTGCTGCCAACCCTGGTGCCAAGGCCTCGCATTCTTGTCTCATATAAAAAATACCTGGGAACATGCATACAGACATGATGAGTCGGTTCTATTTATGGAGAACTAGTCTTGCTGCGATGATTCTCAACCTGGCCACCTGTTGAAATCCTTTGGGAGTTTTGAAATGTATTGGTCCTTGGGTTCTATACTAAGACACTCTGATGCAATTGAAAGGTGGTGTAATTTGGGTATCAGAATGTTTTATAGATTCCCCAGGTGATTCTAATGTGCAGCCAGGGCTGAGAACCACTGTCCCCCACATGTATCAGTTATCCACAGCCACAAAAATGCTGCGTAACAAAATATCCCAATAATAAGTGTCTATTTTCTTTTTTCTCCAGGTTGGTGACTTAGGTAGGGCTTGGAAGGGTGGTTCTTCTACTCTTAGCTGGGTGCTCTCCCCAGTCTGGGGCTTGTTGGTTACTGGCTGATCTAGAACGGCCTCATGGTAGATGACTGAAGTAACGAGGCTCTGTTCACATCTCATCCTCCCCCTGGTCATCTCTAGTCTGTTCACTTGGCAGCTGCAAGAGAAGCAAGAGAGAAACAGAAGCACACAATTGACAAGTCTCTGCTAATATTCCATCTGCCAAAACAAGGACATGGCAGAACTCAGAAATACAGTCAGAGCATGCATCCTTAGGCCCAGCTAAGGTTCGATAAAGCCAGCAGAGAATGGGTAACATTCTGTTGCTAATAACAGAAAATACCTGAGGCTGCGTTGTTTATTAAAATAGTGGTTTACTCAGCTCATGCATGGTTTGAAGGCCCAAGGTCCAGGGGCTGCATCTGGTGAGGATCTCTGGCTACCTCACAGCACAATGGGGGTGCAGGAACTCATGTGTCTGTGCCCACAAATCTCTTTTCTGGTCTCCTTCCCTCTCCTTATAGAAGCACCAGGACCCAGTGAAGGGGGCCCTACTCTAATAATCTTTACCTAATCTCCTAAAGGCCCCATGTTTCAACACCATAGTTGGCCTAAGTTTTCATTCTCTTTATTCCATCACAACTAAATCTCAACACATGAATTCTTGGGGACATACAAACCATAGCACATGAATATTGAGCCTACGCTGTAAAAGGGGAATACTCGACCACACAGGCACTATGACAGGTAGATGAGTCCCAGCCCCATCCTAATCCCACTCTGAGGCTATCTCACCTGCACTAATGCAAGCCAATCTTTTGGTAGTGGCCATTTGTAACACTGTGTTAAGAGGGACTCTGAGACTCTATCTAGACTTGGGGGAAAGAGCATCCTGATCCATTAGTAATGTCTGCCATGGCTGCAAGAGGTGGCATGTTGGAATTTATCTGCTCCATTTGCTGTGGTAGATGAAACCTTTCTGCAACCTCATCTAGACTTGGGGGAAAGAGCATCCTGATCCATTAGTAATGTCTGCCATGGCTGCAAGAGGTGGCATGTGGGAATTTATCTGCTCCATTTGCAACCTCCCTCCCACCATCCCTTTCCCAGCACCTCTCTGCCTTCTTTTCTCATTTCCGGCCTTCATCCTAGCCCTCTTTTCATTGCCAACACCCTCTGGTACCACAACAGAACCCTAACCTACACACATACCCCATCTTCTACCCACCCTTGCAATGCTCCTACCAGACACATGCTAGGACCCTGTAGTAATTTTTATCTCAACAACTACAGCAGATTAATATTCAGAACCAAGCAGGAAGGGTCGCTGGAAGCAAATTCTCTAGTGTCTGCATGTTAGAGGTACATATCTGATGAGCACTATCAGCCAGGCGGGTGCACGGGGCATGGAGGCATGGCTCTCTGCAGAGGGTCCTCTCACTGCCAGGGTGGAGCAGAAGCACGCCCGTGCCCTGGTGCTCATCATTGAGAAGGAGACAAGATTCCTAACAGAGATGTGAGCTGGGGCCTTCAGGCACGTTCTGGGTGATTTATTTTATTCTTAATTAAATTACCAATTGGGGCCCTGTGGCACTGAGAAGCAGGGCTGGCTTGATAGGAGTAGTGGATGGAGAGTGGGGTGGGGTGAGCCAATCAGAGGAGTGGGAAAGGAAAAGGCCTAGTAAATAACCCAGTGGAATGGCTGAAAAACCGAACCCAGCCTTTGCCGAGAGCTGAGCCCTGCTGTCCATGCCCCTAGGAATTCTTCCTCCAGCTTCTTCCAGCATGGCTGCTTCCTGAGAGCCAGGAGCAACTGCATCCCTTCAGAGTGAGGTGCGGTGTCGTGCCGTGACCATCTGTCCAGGGGATAGTTATCAGGCAGAGGGCAGTATACCCAGGGACCTTCCTTCACCACCTGCCGGGGTCAGAGGCAAGTCCAGACCCTGTGCTGCCCTTCAAGCAGGAGTTAAGGCAATGCTAGCTGCAGTAACAAATAGGTCCTCCACATCTCAGGGACGTACCTGAGAAGTTGATATATTATGCATTTGAAGTTACAAAGTGGATAAAGGATGGGGGGATGCTCCCCTCCAGAGTCATTCAGGGACCCTGAGGGCAGGAAAGCACCATCAGCACCACCTTCAAGTCATTCTGCTCTGGCGGAGGGGGCAGGACGGGACAGAGGACCATGCAGGACGCTCTCACGCCCTCACCCTAGAGGTAATGCCCATCCCATTCTCACTCCCCAGTAGCTCAGCCTCCCTGCCCCACCTGGACACAAGCTGAGCCACGAAGCACGACCCAACTTCCCAGCAACTGCAGCTCTCCATAGAAGGAGAGTCTGATGCAGGCAAGTGGCCGTCTCTGCCAGCTCTGTGCACCACGCCCCCTGGGACAGGCTGTCCTCCCCACACACTGTGGACCTTTGTGCCTGATGGTCCTTCCTCATGGGGGCTTGTCCCATGCCTTGCAGGGTGCTTGCTTCTAGGATCACTGGCCTCTACCACCACTTGCCAGTAGCACCCCAAGCTCTGGCAGCCATGAGTTGTCCAGACACAGTTCGATGTCCTCTGCAGGGTGAAGCCACTCCTGGTTGAGAACCACTGACCTAGAAGGGTGGGTCATAACGGAGACCAAGCAGACTAAAGGGCTCCTGAGACCTGACCCCTCTGGGCGTGGCAGTGGCACCACTGTTCATGGGCTCTCTGGGTCCTGAAGCTGGACCCTGTGCCCACAGAGGGCTGTCAGAGAGAGGACAGAGACAGGCAGTGGGCTGCAGCCTGCCTCGGACCACGTGGGAAAGGGCAGATGCAACAGCAGCACATCAAACCCCTCGGCCTCGGAGCTGGGAGAAAGCCCATCTGCCTCCACCCCTTGCACGGAGGAGGAAACAGGCCCAGCAAGGAGAAGTCATGTTCTGTAAAGGCCAAGGCCTGAGTGCCATCCCATAACCCACCCCTGCCGCCACCAAAGCCAGGTGTGGAAGAGACCCATAGCCCAGCATTCCCTGTCCTGGCTCTCAGCCACCCCACGGCAGGTGATGCCCACCCCTATGCTATTTTGCCGCTCTTAACATACTTTAGCTGGAACCTGGTCCTACCTGTGACCACCTCATTAGCTGGAAGTTAAAAGAGCTCTCCAGGAAAAAACAAAAAAAAATGACATCATTAGGAGTCCTGGGAATTGAGGGTCTGGGCCCGCCCTGCCCCTTCCGGAGTGAGTGTCAGATGTGAAGCACCCCGGCGAGAGGTGGGGGAGCCAGCGCACCCAAGCTGGGGAGAGCCGGGCCAGAGAAGCATTAGCGGGGATGTTTATTTGAGAGCCTGTTTAAAACTCTGTAACATTCACCTAATGGGAAAATTTGAAAAGAATTCAACTGGATTTGTCCTTGTTAAACTAACATTAAGGATGTTTAACAGCTGTCTCGGGCACATCACATTAAAATCCGGAGATAGACTTGACAAACTAATGGTTTTGTTTGTCATCGGGAGAATGGGTAAAAGGAGCTGGCAGAGCCTGGCAGGGCAGGGCAGCCGATGGCCCTGGTGCCATTCCACCCGCGCGTAACGGGGACCCAGCTTCCTGCTTGGGTGGGCCCCTCTTCCTGCCTGGACACCTGGCCTTCAGGAGGCTGCATGACAGGAACCCAGTGAAGGGACCTGGCCGAGGGGCATACACCCACCTCTGCCCCACACCACAGCCTGCCCCCTTCTCCTAACCAGCCCTGCTGGTCCCACTCTGTTGACAAGCTTCACAAAGGTAGAAACCAATGTCCAGAGAGGGACCTTTGACACCCAGAAGAGACATCTATGTCACAGGACACCTGTGCCCTCAACAAATTTAGAGTTAGGGTTAAGCCACCGATTCTGGGAGGGTCCTGCTCTTTCTTTTCTTTCTTTTTTTTTTTTGAGAGGTTTTTGCTATAGGGTGCATGTGCTCACCAGAAGACAGAGAGAGATAGAGAAACGGAAAGCAAGAAATCACCCCCCCACCCAGGGGGGATGGCCACACCGCAGTCCCTTCTCCATTCTCCTCTCAGGATCCTGGGCACGCACGCACACGTGCCACTGGGTCTGGGACTCTAACCGCAGTCGACTACATGGGTGTCTAGCAACATAGCCATTACACTAACTGCTGGTCCTGGTCCTGCTCATTTCTAAGTTCATTATCACGCAATATTCATTTGCCCTTCACTCATTCATTCCATGAGCATTTCTTCAGAGTCCAGACACTCGCCATGAAGGGGTACCAACAGCCATGGATGCAGTGACTTGGGAAAGGGCAGGACTCCAGGAGGCTCAGGACGGCCCAAGCCCAGGCTTGGCAGGGGGCCGGGGGGGCTTCAAGCGGGCAAGATCACCTTCTAGCCATGAGGGCGCTGTGCTGGGTCTGACGGGCCTGATGTTGGGATTCTCTGCAAACTAAATGTGGCTGGGCTCTGGGCCCGGGTCAGGGCTCCGTGGCTGGAGAGCTGGGTGGAGGGGCTCTGGGAGGCAGCTGGGGACAGGGAGGTCCCGCCACACCACTGCCTCAGCCCCCACTCCCACTCCCTGAGCCGCAGGGGCCCTCAGGCTGCTGTCAGAGGAATGCTTTCCTCTTCCCAGAGCCATCACGCTGGAGAACACCCTTGTCATCCTGTCAACGGTGGCTCCCGACGCAGGCCCGTACTCC